TATATACATTACATTATATTTCTTTATTGCAGTTGTGAAATAAAAAATTATTGTGTAATACTATAATAATGTATTATTATATACTGAGAGTCAAGAGATAATTATTTCTAACGACAAACTGCAAGTCGTAAAGAATTGTATTTTCTTTGTCACATTACGTATAATATACGTTATTTCAAAATGTTGTGTTTGTATGCGTTGTGGCGGTAGTGGAGTCGCTTGTTTCGAATTCGAGTCTGTTTCGTGTTAAAGGCCCCGAGGTTCTCTCGTAACTAGCCTCTGAAAGGGGGTGCGCTTGAGAGGAGCGGCCAACACGGTGGTGAGAGGTGGGAAACTGGGTTTTTTTTTATGAGTGAAACGGGGTGGAAGTGAAGAGGACGCGAATGGGTTGTAATGTGTAGATAGACGGAGAGAGATTTCGCACGCGAATAATAAAATGGTCCAGACGGCGTGCGGGTCCTCCGCTCCCTATAACGTATATAATATGTATGTTGTATGTATATATACTTATGTATACATTTTACCCACCGACCGGTCTGTGCAGCCCCGCAGACAGGTCTACGGGGCGTGCGGTCGATTGTATGCGTGCGGCGTGAGAGGGAAAAAAAACTTAACTGAAACCCACCCACTCCCATCCCTCATCGCCATCGTGGTCCATACTACCCTTCACCAACACCACTCCCCTCTCCTGTCGCGCGTAACTGCGTTCACCCTATTGAATTTCTATACAGAGGTAAACGAACAAAACGAGAGCTGCGTGCATACAACATTATGTATATATAGTATATAGTATAAATATATATAGTTGTGTGTGTGCATGCACTGTGTATAAGGCCTCCCCGCGTGGGCAGACTGGTGAGCGGGGTATCAATGAAGGGAAGGGAGCTGCAGTCGTATCGGGTACGGGAATTCCAAAACGCGCGTCTGGGCCGTTGATGTCTTTTATCCGTGCTATTATAATTATTGTCAGGTAAATTGTGTATGCCTTTATGCAGTGCAATTATTATTACGCCCTATCCAAATGCATTAAACGGGACGCTAATCGAATCACAGTGTTGTCGTTGTTTTATTAAACTTTGTATTATTGTCATTTCGATTTATAAGTGATATCATCATTTACAATAGTCGTACCCTTTGTATCTAATAAGTAATAAGATAACCGATATCACATACTTCTTATAATATGTACCTGTACTTATAGAATATGTTGTTTATTATGTTACAATACTGAGATAGTTTTAGGCATGGTTGTTAAACCCAACCCAGCGAATTCCTCGGTTGAAGTGGGCGCGGTGGCTTGTTTTAAAACACCCCAAAAATATTTAAAAATTGTGAAATATATTTTATTTTAAAACATAAAATGTTTATTTCTTTGTCATCATTAGCTAGTTTTTGTTCCATCGCTAACACTCCTAAACTTGATAATCAATATTAACACGTGGTCGTATGAACATTTTTTAAACTCTTTTTTTAGTACTGAGAAAGAACGTTTTACACTTGATTTTGGTGAATATCCGAAAAGTCTATCATACTTTTATTTTATTTTTTTACTCACCAGATTTGTGTTTATACCTCAATATACTTGTAGTTTTATAATTTTCTTCGAATATACACTTGTGAAATACAAAATTACAAACACGCGTGATCTATAAAATTAAAAATTTTACTATGTTACTAATGACTCATTTACCCATATCAAATTATAAAATTTACACGATCGTGTTTTGTATTATCTATTTATGCGCAACGATATTGGAACAAAGTGTCTATGCGAGCATGTCGTAACAACTAATATGTGAATATATTTTAATCTAACATATTATATTACCTTTATAATACATTCTGTTATTTTTTATTAAACAGTCAATCGTTATCGTTTAAATAATCTATAACTCTTATAAGTTATAACCTTAATAAGAATAGCACAATTAGCACACATTATATTATAAAAACTCATTATATCTGTTTTGTTTTATGTACAATTTTATCTTATATCATATATTTTTCCCAGTCAAGTGCCACTAGTGGGTGGCTTCTTACCTCAACTACTCATGTTATTATAGCTTATATCAAATATGCTCATTGTGCATCATTGTACAGATTGTATATAGTATTATGTAAAATAAAAAATATCATATATTTTAACGTAATACTCGTACATTAAAAACTCATTTTAAAAATAATTCTTAAAATAAATTGTATCAAACATGAAACAAACGTGTATTGCTTTGAATTACTAGCAGGTGGCGGCTGTTTGCGTGTTAATGATCATTTAGTAAATTAATTACATTAAAAATTGTTTAATTTGCTCGAAGAAGACAAAAATAAATTTTGTTATCAATGCTATTTGGGAATTGTAATAATATTATTTCATTTTATAGTAGAATAATATTTAGTAAAATTTGCTAATGATTAAAAAAATTTGTATGAACGGCTGGGTCGGGGTGTGGGCCTCATGCCTCTCACTGTCACTAACCATGGTTTTAAAAAGTTCTGGAATAATAGTTAACTGTAAATATACTGTGGAACAAGAATGACCAATATGAATATTTTTGTGAGTCACATAGATAAATACAATGATATCAGAAGCCAATTTTTTTATAAACGTAAACCAAAAAATTTAAATTCATATTAATAATAATAATAAATTATTTTTGATTTTATAAATATTACGCGATTCACGATTAGGTCACCTCTGTTATATAACATGTCAACATATACACTAATAGTGTTTATTTTATACTATAATAACTAACAATTCATGTGTAATAAATTATGTAAAAAATATATTACATAGATGCTTGTATGGTTTTTGATATTATAAACAAATAATAAATTATATTAGATATTCAGATGTTTAGGTATATTTTCTCACTTTAACTACATAAGGTTCTGGGTATTAGCGCTGCTCTACTGGCCCTACCCCTGACCTCAAAAGTGTATTTTCAAATAATTCCAACGTGGATTTACTACATTTATGTTTAGTTTTATATAGACAGGTAAAACGCATTTCACTCTTTTCGTAAAGGTGTCTGTTTAGTATGAAGTGCGATAACTCCTTAAACATATAAGCTTGTACGTCGCTCAAAACTAGCTGTATATATCTGATGTTATTTTAGGCGCGTTAAACAATCGACACCGATTCGGGCAGAGTATAATTTATTATACATTTTTTTTTAGACAAATTTTTTTAAAGTAGGTCGTTTAGAAAAAAAAAACTTTTATTAATAGAAATGGCGACGTTTAAAAAACTATATCCATTATTTACTAAAATAATCAATTACAAGTAAACTTTTCACCTACTTTAATGAACTTGTCGCATGTTTCATTTTATGAATTAAATTAATGTTTGGATACATTATAAATATTTTTTTATGCTTAGTCATTATCCTAATTATGTTTTAAAAATGTGTAAGATATAAAAAATATGATGAATCTATAAATGGTTTTTTGAAATATGATTTACTTACAAGATAAACGCTATTGCCATAATTTGGTATTGGACTCATATGTTTGAACAGTCCAGTGCATTGAACTTTTTTTCATTGTGATAGGGAACAATAAAAATATGCTATTCCAAAAATAATTGTATGATTTTCGAGCTCAATAGACCTGGAGCAAATAATGGTGTAATCGAGTGAAGATTGAATTGTAATCGTAATAATTGAACAAAACCTTTATTATCCGATAATTTCACTGTACATTTTAATGTGTACATAAATAGATATAGATATAGTGTTTAGGTATATTCAACCTTCTTACACATGCGACACACAGTTTTTCAGTTTCAACATTCTATCCGTAACGTTTTCTTTAGATAGTTATTGTTTAAAGTTGCAAAGAAGCGAAATGAATGAGTATGAATAACAAATAATTGTGGTCTGGATGTAATAGGTCACAAACTTACGAAGACAATAATCTCGATACCAGTAAATAAATGTTAAAACGTCAAGAAATATGTTGTATATTCCATATTTGTTATTGTATATGTAAAAAATGATTTGATTAAAATGTTATGAATTATGACGTTACAGAATCATATTTTGTGTAATAATTTAATCACCCAATTGTTTCTACCTTTATTCATATTTTATAATAATAAATAAACAATAAAAACAAAACAAAATAAAATTAAGAACATAATACAATAAATTATTATAAAAATATGTTTTTTATATTGTGTTCTTAGTATTACCACAAGTAATTATCATGTTTTTGTACGAAATGCCGCCAGACCAATTTTGTTTTCTGGTGCATAATAGACATGCATTTGGCACACTTGTTTTTATGATGATATCATTGTTTTACAATAAAGCTGTATTCGTGTTTTAACCATTTTAACTAGCAACAACGCGTAAAATATTTGTCAATGTACTCAATAAAATAAATAATAATTTTAGATGCACAACATTTCAATATTTTTTTATTTAAATTTTTTAATAAAATAAAAAAATCCATCATAGCTGTTTTTTGAATAATAATTGTTGGATGTATGATGTACTGCGTTTTAGGAATTTAGTAAATATTATGTACAACTAGGTAACTAATGTAAATTCAACGCCTACATAATTTAAAATGGCAACCGTCATTCATTTTAACATTTTATTATAATTTGTTATTATTTTAATTATTTAATAGAGCTGTAAAGGTAACAGATATTATCAATTGTGGGGGAAGGGTAGTTATAATAGACTATAAATGCATTTTAAGTTCAAATCTAATGAGTATATTAATAATATTAATATATTAGTATTTATTATTCATTATTTTATTATTTTGAATTGGCTTTGAGTTCAATTATAATTAATTTAATTCAATTAATTTAACTTTTGTAATTTACTTATAGGCTTCAGTAATTAATAATATTTGATTTGATGACATAGTTTTAGTCTTTAGGGAAACTCTACCTCTCTATTGATTTTTGTGTACTTATTTAATTTTAATGTTAATTTATTTTAATATAATATATTGAAATGCAACTAATTTTATTTTTATTGCAGACAAAATTCATAAACATTGAAGTATACTATGAAGCGTTATGCAATGATAGCGTTAACTTTGTCTCAGATAAGTTACTACCTGTGTATAATAAACTAAACAAGTTTATTAACGTGACATTTATTCCTTTTGCTCAAGGAAATGTAAGTTAAAAATAATAAAATACTGGTTTGCTTGTTTAGGTATTAATTTATATTCTTCTTTATTGTGTCAGTATTCATTTACCTAAATGTTGTTAAAATAATACAATAATTTTGTTATTGATTTCAGATCACTGTTAATCCTGACAAAACTGTTAAATCTCTCATTTGTAAACGTGAACATGAGTGTGAAGCTGATAAAGTACATGCTTGTGCTATTAATAAAATCAAAGACAACGAAAAGCTAGTCAAATTTGTAAATTGTTCTTTAACCGAAGGATTTGTCAGTTCAAATAAAATTGTACCAATCGAAACGGTATATGCATTTGTTTAATTAAATAATTGGTTTCTATTGTTTCTAATAATTCATATCATAATTTCATAATTATATTAATTTTTGTTCTGAGTACTTTAATACTTGATTGTATCTATTCAGAACATATTTTGAAAAACGTAAATTAAAAAAAAAAAATGTAGTTAACACTGCACGCTAACCCATTGTTTCTAATATTTATTTAATATCTTATACTTTTGTGTAAAGAAATTGTTCAGTAACGTGCATTGATCGTTTTATTTTTTTGAACAATATTAAAAACGTAATTTTTTACAAGTAATATCGTTTAGTTATCTCATAATATTTATATATTGAAATAAATTAACCTAATTGATTTAACTGTATTACTACTTATTAGATATTAACTTGACAATTTTAAATATTTTATAGTGTGGCAAAAATAATAGCCTTGATGAAAGCATCATTACTGAAATCAAAAACTGCTCCAATAGCTTAGACGCATGGGTCCAATGGTTCCAAAATTATAGCACATTGTCTTCTAATGCTCATGTGACAACTGTACCTAAAATTTTAATCAATCAGGTAAATTTAAACAGCTATTATAATTTTTACTATTACCTATATTAAATGTGGTTTATTTAATACAGAAGGAAATTAATGATGATATCTTAACATCAAATAATTTTATGAAAGCCGTTTGTGAACTATTGAAAGGTAAAGATTTACCAGACGATTGCAAGACTTTAGTCAGTGGATCAGATAAACTTGTTGTTGGAATATTACCAATAATAATTGGCGCTTTTTATATCATAAAAATGATCTAAGTCTTAATGTGTAAGGATTAAAATATTTTAAGTTTATATTTTTAAATAATTATTCATCTTATAATCTATTAGTTCTATAAGTATCTTTTTTTATTACTTATTATTACTCATTTATTATACATAGTTTTGCCACGCCCTTATATATTTGTAATTAAGAATGTTAGTGTATATCCATTTGTCTTTTAGACTTACATAGTAGTACATAGCAGAAATATTAGAAACACATTATGATTTTTAATGATATATAATTATGTAAAAAATGACTAAAGAAAAATGTTATGTATTTTTTTTTTTTTTTTATCAGATATTCAAATGAAATATTTTTGAGTGGTAGAAGTATTTATGTAATAATCCTAGTATTTGTAAAAATTTCTATAAGTATCTAAAATTATGATTAGTTAAATTATTATTCATTTATTATATTTTTAATCATTATTGTGAAATATTTATTTTTTATGATGTACACACAAATCAATGAATACCAAGTAAATGCCATATTAATTAAAAATTACTATTCCTCATTATTGACCTCTTTAAAAAATAAAATGTAAATGAGATTAACTAATAATTTTTAAATTTATTAGTGATTTCAAATTTTTAATTTAACTTAGAAACATCTGTTATAATTATGTAAATTTGAGTATATTTGTTAATCTATATTAGCTTTTCTATTATAATATATAATGAATAGCTAATATATGATTATTTTATTATTTTATTATAACTATAATATATGGCATATGCCAATATAACATTAAAACTGTATCAGTGTAAACTGTAAATATAATTGCTGATTTATATTTCGACTTCAATTAAAAATATTGTAAATCAAATAACAAAAGATATAAACTACTGTGATTATAATAAATACAAGAGTATATAATATTATAAGGATAAGATCTAAAACACTTAAAATACAATTAACTGTCAATTAGGTTGTATTTATATGCATTAAGGGCGTTTAAATTAAATTAATTAATCATTATGGCAAAAATCTACTAATTATTTTTAAATACTTTTTATTTTATTACATTTTTATAACCAACTAGAAAACTATTAAAATTTAAAAAATAATAATAACTTGACAATTTGAAAAATCTTAAAACTATAAACTATTTTAAACATTAAATAATAATAACATATTTAATTTCTTAAAGTTTTTGCACTATTAGTGGTTCAAAATGTGTAAATTACTCTTATTGTAATAATCTCCATTGACAATTATACATCATACAACATGCATCCAATAATGAGTACTCAATAATAATGATATCTGTATAAATATTTAAGTATATATAATATTGTTTTCATTCACAATACGATAATAAAATTAAAATCTCAAATAAAATATTTATAATATTACAATAAAATTATTGAAATATTTAGAATTCTTATTAATTAAATAAATTAATAAATCACCAAGTTAAATTAGTCTTAAATAGAGTATATTTGTCATTTATTGTGTTATCTAACATTGGTTATTTATAAAATTAGTTTTATCTACTATAAATAAAATTATAATAGATAATAAATACTTTACATTTTTATTATTTTATTGATATCCTCATACAATTTAGGTTTTTAAGTGAAACGATAAATTCATTGATTTGAATGATTAATGTTTTTTTTCTTTTGTGTGTCGATGTATACCTAGTAGAAAAAATAACTATTAGGCTGATTTTTTGACAACAAACTGAATCTAATTGAAACTTTTGAGAAGTCAACATTGAAAATTCCTTGTCATTTTTAAAATAATCTGTAGGAAGGAAATAATAGAAGGAATATAAATAATATTATATTATATAATATAATAAATATATAGAAGGAATAATGAGAATTTTTATGCAAGACTAGTTTTAAACAAAATTGATATTTTTTATTTAATGATATATAATTCAAAAACAAATAACCATAAAGAATTAAAATTTTTAACAAATATTTATAGAAGAATTTTTTTTAAATATTTTTAATTTTTAAGCTATTTATGGGTACAGGAAATTTTTTAATTTTTATCTCATAGTCAATGTCTATAATATTTTCAATGGATTAAACAATTTAAGAGTTAAACAACAGATTTCTTTATAAATTATTATTAGCGAAATTAAAAAAAAAGTTAAACATAAATATTAAATACACAATATATTTTTATGATTGTTTAAAGTTTACATTTTGAAAAAAAAAGGATAAACATAGGTTGAACAATGATTTCTCTTAAAACGGTATTCTTATATTATTGTATTTCATCAATAAATAACCATATGTCCATATTTACTTGAAAATTTCATAAAATATTTTTATAATAATTGTCTACATATGGTATACTAAAACACTAATAATTGCATATTACTTTGTAATCAAAAATGCATAAAAAATTTAATAATCATACCTATGGGCGTTGGAAATTTAACGTTTTAGTGCGTAATGCTTTAACTGTTAACGTCCTACTATTATTAAAATATTTATTTCTTTTGTTAACATTTTGCATATTTTAGTTTATATTATGTAGCACAGCAGTGTTATAGTTATATGTAATAGGCGCAACAGCTTAAAAAATAGGTGAACATAATAGCCGTATTTGGCTGTAGAGACAACTTTACTTATCGTACCCATATTTTATATTATTATATTATTCTCTAGTCTCAATGAAAGAAATTATATAAAACATAAAACTAGTCCATTCTTAATGGACTACTAACAATATTTGCAATTATTATAATTTTAAAACTGTAGATCGTTAATATGCCTAATCGATAACCATTAATTATATTATAATTTATAAATATATAATAGTTTAGCCATAAATTAAGTTAGATAATCGTATGACTCTTCTTAATTATTAATAATTATTTGCCATTACCTACCCTATTAGGTAATTATTATATTTATTTATACGTAGTATGATTAGTATGTTTTGATTTACTGTAGGTACCTATGCCAGTTTTTAAATTTTATTTTACGAAGAGTTCATTCATTACCACTTGTGACTGTAGCAGCGAGTAAGTATATATAAATATGTACTATTCGTTTTTCTGGAAACTACATCCCATTTATTTATTTATTTATTTATTTATTTATTTTTGTTTTATTATGAGTGTTTATTTTTATTTTTTTTGTGTACCAAGGTCTAGGAAACGGAGTTGTTCAATATGTGTACATTGTATAATAATATTATTACCACAATTTTAAATTATACAAGTGTTAGTACCTAGTACCTACAAAAAAAAAAAATTAAAACACTTTAAATTATGAAAAAACTATAACGAATGAATCCGTTACTCATTAGTCCGTGACTGACTAATTTAATTACACGGCAAGCAAATCAATCAAAGTGTATAATAACGGGCAGAGCATCATCGTCGTCGTCATAACCTCAGAATAACGGACTGACTGTATTTTTTTGTTATTTATTTTACTTTAATCACTTAGCGTTATAAACAAATTTAAACTACTGAATAATCTCATATGATTTCCTTTTCATTTCTTAATTACTTCCTGAATGTTACATAACTTTTTTTTATATTTTAGAGCCGAGTTCTTCAACACACGGCTTGCCTAATTATAATAGACGAGGCCCATGAACACATTTTAAGAGCACAGCATATATTTTTATACATTTTCAATTAATTACCTAATACATTTTTTTTTTTTATTATTACGAATGCAACCCGAGATATTTCTTATTTTTAAAAAAGATGGCCCGTTGCTTAAAAGAGTTGAAGACCTATATTCTGAAATTTTACATAATAAATTAATATATTATAGCCCACTTTCACACGCGGATAATAATCTTATTTCTTTTTCAATCAAATTATTTAAAAAATCATAATAATAATCATTTTCGCGGTTTATAATGCTGTAGTTTTATTTAAAATTGTCACAAATGGTCAATTAGTATATTTAAGGAAACTTCGTAACTACCAAGTAACTTGTAGTTTTTCTTTTTTTTTTATGTAGATGTCCAGTTTCAATACTTTCTTAGAGTTTGTACGATATACATATAATATTTATATATGTATAATAAACCATAATTGTATATGTATTGTATGTGTTTAACGGATATTATTATATATTTTTATAGAATACATTACTGAATTACATACTTAATTGTTTTATAGATAATTATTAATTTTTTTTTCGCATCAAATTTTACTTTTTCTTTAATGTTTCGTTTTAATTTTCAATAATTATAATTATATTGGTAAGAAATTAGGTTAGATTTTTATACTTATAAAATATATACGTACCACGTAGGTACATACCTACTTTAAAACTGTTGACACAATAAACATGTAGCTATATTATTCAGCATACAAGACTTAATGATTTCTTAAATTCTGTGTTAAAAATAGGTGAGATACAAATTAGATTGAAGATTTACAATTACAATAAAATTATAAACACAACATTGTTACATTATATATATTACGCACATAAATGCATTTATCAGATTTTTAATTTTTTTTATTGTATATTTGAGTGGTTCCCAAATTTGGGTACGCGAAATGATCTCAAGAGGTACGTGAAAATAAAATTGACTAATTGCGGCAAATATTTTAAAAGTAGTTATGTGAAAAAGTTTAAAAATTATAATGAGGGATATAGTCTAGCAAAATATTAAACTTAAGGGTACGGAACAAAAAAAAAAAAGTTGGGAACTGCTGGTATATTTGATAAAAAAAAAAAAAATGATAGATTTAGTCCAATTTGGTATTGGTATAGGTACTATTATATATAATAATTAAACACAATGTTTAATTCTGAAAATATTAATTTAAATTTATTTGCATACATTTTTTTAAAACCATTATACATAGCATCTATTTATTTGATACTATAATAATAATTTTTTCACATATTACAATGTACTTCATAATCATAAGTCTGTTATTGAAGGGTAAATGTTCTTTTAATTTTTTGGATTTAATTAGGTGTAAATTTACGTTCATAAGATAGGACTCAACCAAAATACATTTTAGTGAATTGTTAGATTTAAAAATATCATAAGTAGATTCGTTTAAATGATTGATTTCTACTATGAGTGCCTAAATCAAATTCAAGCGTTTTAAATTGCAAAGAAAAAATAGCAAAATCATGGAACGGATTGTGGTTAATCTTGCATTAAATACAGCAGTTCAAAAACATAAAAAATAAATAGTTACATCTGATACCTACTTTTGAAAATAATTTAAACACAATCAAAGTATGTCACAAGCTAGTGACTGCTTTAAAAAAATAC